CCCAACCCAATCTCCTAAAAGGGAAGGTCCCAGGCAGGGCTGCTGAGGGCAAGTGGGCTGCCTTGGCCCCCAAGGGCTTTTTTATTAACGCGCATACACCCATTACCTAGGCTGGCAGGGCTCTGGTCCCAGGTGCTGTCCCAGGGCCCAGCAGCCCGCCCTTCAGCTTCCTGAGGCTTTTCCAGGGATACCCTCTGGAATGCAGCTTTATTGATGGAATGCAGCCCGACCAGCCCCACCACTCCTGTGAAGCCCCAGGTCCGCCTGACATGCCTCCTGCCACCCTGCTGTGTCCCTCCAGGCCTGTGTGGAGACCATGTATCAGTGTGTACACTTCTGGGGCTGCAAGGGCCTGGTGGACTCCTCAAGGCAAAGAGACACCAAGGGGGCTGATGAGATGGCCACTTTCCAGACGACTCTGTGCTCCGTCCTGGTGAGGAGGCTGAGGGGGGGCTCACCTGTTGGCAGTGGCTGCTCAGTGGCTTAGGGCTTAGGGTCTCAACTGCCAGAGCTGACCTTGTGACCCTGTGTTCACCTCCTAGAGGTGAAGTGTCGAGACCAGCACTGTCCTGCAGAAATGAATGCAAGCCACATGCCCATTTTTAAGTTTCCTAATAGCCATGTTAAGAAAAGGGAAAAGACAATAGGGTGGTGAAGGCCTGGGGCGGGGGGCAGGGGCAGGGGCAGGCTGGAGGGGGTCAATGGGGGAAAAAAGAGGACATATGTAATACTTTCAATAATAACGATTAAAAAAAGGGGGGGGGAGATGAAACCAAATTTAATCATAGATTTTATTTAACCCAATTGCTCCAAGTCTTTATTGTTTCAACATGTAATCAATGTAAAAATTATTAATTCAGGCTAGCCATCTTTCACGTGCTTAAGGGCCACACATGGCCATTGGCAACTGTATTGGACAGCATGGTTTCTGGACAAATATAATCTCCTCCCTGGGCCAGAGAGGCCAAAGCCAATCCGACAAGCTTCACCCTCCGATTTTTCTGCAGAATGGATAATGGAACACATGGCTGTTAACTCAGAGCAGGTTAATAACTTGGGTTGATAACCTTCCTGGTTTCCTCTGAAGGTCTATAGTGTCCAATGATGGGGACTTTGGCAGAGGAAGGAATATGAATAAGGGGCACTTTGAGAATGGAGAAAGTCACTTAGTAAATCATCCCAGGAGTCCACACCCCAATGGCACTGTTTAATGCAGCAGAGGCTGCAACTTATGAGATAAAACACCTTCTTTTCCTTGAAAAATTACCCTTAAGAGAGAGTGACAATTTGCTGTGTGACCCTGGAGTCACTCGCCCTCTTGGCAGACCCTCCTGCATCAGACAGATGGCAATACACTTTGTATTCCCATCCGGGACCGCAACCGTCCCAGCTCTGTGTATCACTTGTTTTTTTGCAGACTCAGAAAAAGCCTGCTGTTCTCTACAGTTTCTTGCTAGAAACAATGCCCTACATTAAAAGTAACTTGTCAAGGATCAGAATCGCTTCCTGCAACTTGGCAGGTGAGCGGGCAGATGTCTCCTGATGCAGGAGGGACCTTGAAGGCCATGGGGTCAGTCCTGGGTCTGGAGGGGATGGGGACAGGTGTCAGGTGTCCTCAACTAACTCCTCAGACACCTGGTAAGGTAAAACCAGATCGCTCACTCACCTAATACCTGTGTGATGAGCATTTCTCTGGCTATCACTTAGGGATTATTATGAAGCAGATGTCTGAACATTATCTGAAAAAGCTGGACTTTGTGGCATTACGGAATTGTAAGTCGTGGAGACTCAACTGTAGGTGGGGAGCTTAGTGAAGTGCCGAGGGAGCAGCTTGCTGACCCTTGGTTGTGGGCTTTGTGGGGGTTGGGGGTTGTAACCAGGCACAGAGATGGATGGCCCTATGGAGGGCTTTCCAAGGAAGACAGCTTTTTGTGGGGTGGTGTTAGGAGGAGGAGGGGGCGCAATTGTTCTGGGCTTCTGCCCCATCCCCCTTCACAAACATTAGTAAAATTCTTCTGCCCTGATTCTGTCAGCGGATCCAGGCGGCAATTGGGGTTCTGGGGATCCCACTGTCCGTTAGAGAAGGGAAGCCCTGAGAGATGGCAGATGTGTGTGAAGACACAGCTCCACCTGCCTGTGGGCAAGTGCAGAGGGCAGGGGGCGCAGCCCAATGGCCAGGTCCTGACCCTCCCATTTGTGCTCTCAGCCCTCCAGGAGCTACAGTTGGACACAGATCCTGGGGTGCAGAGGGCAGCCCTGGAGACTCTCAAAATCTTGGATACCTGCAGTCAGCACCGGCTTTTGGCTTCCCCCAAAGGAATCTCCTAGGTGGCCCGAATGTGAAATGCAAACTGCCCACCCTGCCCATAGCAATGCAGACCACTTTGAATTTAGTTTGTAAGGAAAGCATTGTTCTGAGATAATCAGTGTCCCCTCCTTTCCACTGAAATAAACCTCCATTGCCACGTGGATGCAGACTCTTGGCTGTAAGGTGACGATATCCCAGAGTCAGGACAGCGGGGCAAAGGGAGAGGTCATTGTTTCTAGCAAGAAACTGTAGAGAACAGCAGCCCCAAGCATCAGAATCCACCTTCGTCTTCACTGGCATTTAGGTCCCATTCATGCTGATGGTGTCCACTGCCCATGGCTGTGCCAGGCAGAGAGCCGGGTTACTGTGCGGGCCCTGCCCCAGGGCCCCCACTCTTATAGGGAAAGGAGGCATCTACCAGCCAAATGTGACACACATTAGAGCAGCGGTCGCCAACCTTTCGGACCTCACGGACCACCGGTTGGCGACTGCTGTATTAGAGGGCACCATTCTGTACAGTTCATGGGTCCGTTATTGGCAGAGCTGTAAATTGGCTGAGATGCAAGCCCAGTCCTTCTGCCTTACCTTCCTCTGCTAGATAACAGGACATCAAACCCTGAATTTCTAGGCTCTCTGGCAGCGAGGCCTGGCCAGAGACCTCAGCACAGGCCCACTGGGTAACGGGTTGGGGTGAGCCAAGGCACGAGCAGATTGGGGCAAGAATGATAGTTTTCCTGGTAAGGAAGAAAGGTCTAGAACTGCAGGGGCCACTCCAGCCTTGGCTGAGCCAGTCAGCACCCCCTGCTAGTCCTCCTTACTGAATCACAGGGCTCTGGACTGAACATGTCTCCCCAAGTTCACACATGGAAACCCCAACCTCAGTGCGAGTGCCCGAGATGGGGCCTTGATGATGGGATTAGGGCCTTTATGACAGCGCCCGCTCTGTCTGCCATGTGAGGACATGGTGAGGAGGTGCCGCCTGCAATCCAGGAAGGGTCCTCATTGGAGCCCATGCTGGCACCTGGACCTCTGACGTCCAGCCTGAGAACCGGGAAATAAATTTCTGTTGTTTAAACCACCCAGCTGTAGTATTTTGTGCTGCGGCCTGAGCTAATACACATCGGTCATGAGGTCCCAGGGCACAGATGTGGGGGGAAAAGGGTACACATTATTATGAGGACAGTGACAGCCTAGGGAAGGGAAGACATCCAATCTTATCTAATATTTTATTTAAAATAAGAAATCCATAGCACATGGCAGCATAACAATTACTCAACCTGGGTTTGGTCACTGTGTTCTGAATATTTGAAATATTTTATTAACGAAGACATTCTGTTATCAACCGCTCCGATAAGAGTCAGATGTCATGGCTACCATGTGGCTACAAGAGTACTTGGGGAACATCACAAGAACGCTTCAATACAGCATGCTTTCCTCTAAAAACATAGAAAATGACTTTGTATGGGTGAATTGTGCTTCAATGTGCTACCTCCTGATGTGGAAGGTGCCAAGTCTCATGGGTCTGAATTTAAAAAACTAAGCAGCTGAATTTTTCCTTCAGAGATCATTGTATCCAGGGCTTAAACTTATATTTCAAAGCAAACAATTTCTCCCAGGAAATGGGAAATATAAGAGAGAATTCGGTTGGCACATCTAAATTTAGCAAAGAAAACATGAGCAAAATAGCCCCAAATACCATTAATACTTTTAATTGAGCAACCTTATTCCAATAATTTCTATACCAAGAACCTGTCAGTCATGTCAATGAAACCAATTTCATGGAAATCTGCTTTGAAGGGGAGGTAACTAAAGCAATTTCTAAGTCTTGAGAATTAAAAAAAACCACGCACACACACATAAACAGAATAAAGGGGCAGTGGGACAATACCCTAAAAAACTTGATTGTAGATTTTTAGCTTCGAGTTTTCTAACACAAAATCACTTATCTTCCATCCTGAAAGATGTGCTCTTTCCTCTAGGAAAAAAAAAAAGAGACAAAACAATCTCAGTAAAATTCCACTAGCATTCTCAAAGCCAGTCACTAAAAGCTTAACTGTTATTTATTTCAATGTCTATATATATAAATATTAGTGTGTCCACTATAGAAAATGCCACCACGCTCAATAAATATCCTAAGGCAGCAGTCGCCAACCAGTGGTTCGCAGACCACTGGTGGTCCGTGAGGTCCGAAAGGTTGGCGATCGGTGCCCTAAGGAATGTAAAGAAAAACAAACAAACCTCCCAAAACAACAACTAACAAAAACTGACATTAAGCCCTAAGGCAGAATGCAAACAGGTGGTTAAGTTGACAGGCTTGTTTTCAAATGCTGGTCCAGCAGTTATAAGACTGAAGCTGAATCCCCTATTTACTAAAAGAAAAGACAGACCTATCTAATTGAAAGGTTCGTGGGGGATTGAGGACGGCATGAAAAGGTTCACCGTGGCCTGGTGAACAGAAAGCATTCAGGTGTCAGCCTTACAATTCCTTCTGTAGCCTCAGCTCACGGAGATTTGGTCCTTTTCCTCAAGAAATTTGTAATTTAGGGAAAGAAGAAAAAGAAGGAAAATTATTAAATATGTTTATATTGTGGTTTAAGATGAAACTGCAAAGGCCTCCAGTGGGGCTTATCAAATTCCAAGGGAGCCAGGAGTGTCCCCCGGGACCACCAAGGCCGAGTTCTCCTCTGGGTCCTCTATGTCCAGGCACACATGGTCACCAGGCTGAGCCGGTGAAAAGTGAGGGGGCACTGCACTGAGCACCCAGAGGGTAGAGTAGAGGCAGGAGTGACCTGCCACACTCCCGGAGCCAGTTAGTAAGTAGGCGGCTTAAGAGGTGAGGTGCGAGCAAACCAGGGAACACGGTGTGAAAGGCACAAAAAAGGGAAAAGACAAGGAGGGAAGCTGTGTGAGGAAAAGGTTTAGGTTCAAACAAGTGGGGACGGGGACTAGGGGGATGTGACGTGTCAGGGGCTAGGAGAAGCCTCAGAGACAGCCCCGGGGCTGAGGAGTCATCTTTGGTGAAATGTACCCTTTCAACCGAGAAACAAGGTGATGGTGATGAGCGGTGACCTGTGAGAGCAAACGGAATGTGTGAGCTTCGTGCTCCCGAAGTGTCTGCCAGGAGCAAATGGCTGGGCACTGAAAGCCTCAGCCTCAGAGGACTCAGTCACCCTGCCGGTGGCCTGATCCGAAAAAGTCAAGTGGGCCTGGGGATTCCGAGCTTAAGGCCTCTGGGGCTCATTCATTTCTGCATCCACAGCGCCGTCCCACAGGTAGTCAAAGCACTGTAGGGTTTTGAAATATTTTTCGAGAAGGCGAGTCACAGGGGTCTGAACACTGAGAAGCACTAATGGGCAACGGTAGGGACAGGCCTGGGGGGAGGGGGGCGGTCTGAGGGGTGGTAGACAGTGACAACTCAGGTGGAGGGGTTCATCTCCAAGAGGAAACACACTGTCCTCTGAAAAGAGGTCATAGGGCAAACAGGCAGAGATGGGAAAACAGAAAACAGCATATTTAGGGCAGAGAGGGTCCATCTGAATGACCGCTGAGAGGCCCTCTACGGGGTTGGGGTGGGAAGGGAAGAGGGAGCTTTTATATACGCCTGACCTGCCCGCACCACTAACACACAAAATCCCATACCGCCAAGCCAAGAGTCAAGTCCCATCAGCTGGCAGCAGTGACGTGCAGGGACAGTAACACGGTCCAAATCCCGGCACACTGCGCGGCACGCTGGAAAACCCGGCCCTCCTGTGATAACACTCAACGACACACTGACTTGTCCCACCCCCTCATCTTGTCTCTGGAGAAAATAAAAGGGTGCAGCACATTCAACTTTAGCTAAGTGGTCTGCACGAATGACACTGCCGGAGGCAGAGGGCGCTGAGGTTACTGGCTGCCCTCCCGCAGCCCAGCACGTGTGAGATTCTGCACCGGCGGCTCTCAAGGGCCTGCTCCTGCTCCGTCCCTACTAGGAAATCCAGAAGTAAAACAACGCCGTGGTTTCCGGACCAATTTCTCCTTACACAGCTCTTCTCTGAGTGTAAGACGGAGAGGGTGGAAATGACACGGTTGGACAAGGACGGATACAGCATGCAAAGTGATGCATTCTGCTGGGAATCGTGTAGAACTTTCTCGGGAAGAATGCTTTTCAGCTCCACCTGGGCACATCTTACCATGAACATGTGCTTGATGTGAAGAAACAGAATTTGGGAGAGAGTTTAGAAAATGAACATGCACAGAAGAATACTGTTATCAAACAGCCACGTTTGACAAAAACTCACCTTCCTTTCCCAGTCGGGGGAAGAGCAGACCTCTTTCCCTGGCCTCGGGAAGGCCCGGCCCACCATGCGAGAGGGATCCTGGGATTCTGCCCACCTTCCACACACCTGAGGGTCTGATAAGCGGCGTCTTTTCGCGTGGGGCTGAGGCCTGCAGCTGGCGGCCAGCTCGAACCACGGGGATGGATGGGGCTCAACCGTGGTTGAGTCCCGTGAACTTCTGATGCTCCGCTGCAGTGACGATGACAACTTCCGGGGTCCCAGTAAGCCAGAGTCTGGATCTAATTTTTTAAAGAAGGCTTCTGTCTGATTCTGAACTTCCACACTTGCTTCATCTGGAGATGCTTCAGCACAAAAAGGCACCTTCGCCCGCTGAGGTGATTTTTGGCAATACTGCTGATGCAGCTGGTCAAATTTCTCCCTGATTCCATCGTAACGATCTCTTGCAGAGCCTAGAGGATGTACCCCGGGTACTGAAATAGCTTTGCTGAGTGCCGCTGACTCCCTAAGTATTCCAAGAGGATTTTCTCGGAAAAGATCAGCTGTGGGGTCAGAGCAGCCTGGGCTCCATGTGGGGTCGGTCTTTGAAAATGATGCAGATGAATCACTTTGGGGCAGGCATCTTCCTGTTTCAATAGCCCATTTGCCCAGGTTTTTAAAAGCCTCATTTAGACTCTTCACTTTTGCTTTGCTGAGAGGTCTACTTGGCCGGTGGGTTTCTAAGCCCTGGGGGCTCCGGGGGCTTGCTAGACCACTTCTGAGCACGTCGACCCCGAAGGAGGAGGAGCTGGGGAGGTAGGTCAGGCCTAGCTGCTTCCTGGGGCTTGGGCAATATTTCTGGTGAAGTTTCTTAAATTTGCTATCGAATGCCCCGTAATGATTCCCTCCCTCGCCCTGCAGCATTCTTGGTCTGGAAACTACTTTTACAGGAGAAATTAACCACTTTAATGTCATTAATCTATTTTCCCGATCAAGACGATGTGTTACACTAGAGTCCACATAAGTTAATGAAGACAACTTCCGGGGTGTTCCCTTAAGCTCCTTTGAGATTTGGAGTTTGTTTACTTCAGGAAAAGCTTTTTCCAATTTTAATCCTGCCTTCTGGCCAGAAAGATCTCGGAAGTTCTGGCTCTCTCTTAAAACCCCCGCCTCTTTCACAGGCTCAGAGCAGGGCACCAGTGTCTCCTGGGAGTCCCTCCGTGCGTGCCTGCCGCCTCTGCAATATGTTCTGTTCATTCTGCTCTTGCACCCGTGTCTCCTCCGAGAGCTCCAGTTTCGAACAATGAAGGTTTTGGTGGAGATGACGCACGAGGGCTTTGAGCTCAGCAGCCGGCTCATCGAGTGCAGCATGCCCGCATAAAGGTCGCTGATGGTCACGTTGCAAATGTCACCAGCCACAAAGGACTGGCTGCTCAAGAAGCTGTGACTACTGGTCTCTTGCAATGAGACACTGTCATTTCTGGGCACTATGACCGTGTCTGGGGAGCAAAGGCGTGAAGATGCAGCTGGCTCAAAAGGACTGTCTTCAGAGACATGGCCACAGTATCCTGGAGAAAAGCACACAGGTAATGTGTGTACGTTACCACTTCAAACAGTCTGTATGCAGAGATCATGGAACGGAAGACTGGATCATGACCATAATGGTTTTTTTTATAAAGCAATACAAAAACAAAAGAAATATTATACATATTTGGGAATAGACTCTTCCTTCTACCTATAAAAATTAAATTTCTACGTTCCACCAACCTTCCCAAAAAGAGTCTCCCTTCC